CCCCCCAGGTGCCCCCCCCCCCCCTCCGCGGGCCCCCAGCCAGTGTCTGGGTATCGTCCTGGGTGACCTAGTGGCTCCCACCATCCAGCCAGGCCTCAACCTCCTGCCACTTCCACCACTGCCACACCCACAGCCTCTGTTGAGCTCAGGCCCCTTTATTTCTGTGTCGGCCAGGCCCCAGCTGATTTCTTACTCTAATCTCACTCCCTGTGAACCTCCCTCAACAGACAAATGGATCCCTCCAAAAATAAAAGCTTCAAGAACATACTGTGGGCCAACCTGTGGCCTGGTGGTTAAGGAAGTTATATTCCACACAGCTAACTGCATGGTTCAAGTTTCAGGATGCACTGGCTTGAAAAACACACTGGGCACATGTGTACGTATGCCCAAAATCCTACCAGGATGGAGAAATGGAGAAGAGGGCACCACAGCATGACCACAACCCATGGGGAGGGGGCGGCTTGCTTTCGCCCTCTTTCTTTCTGTCTCTCTCTGGTAAGCACACATGCCCTCTAGTTTAAAAAAAAAAAAGGAGAGGCCAGCAAATGCTGTAGCTGTTACACTGCTGGACTCCCACATGGCTGACTCCAGTTCGAGTCCCAGACCCAGTGGCTTGAAACTAACACTAGGTGTGCGTGCGTGCATGCCCAAGATCCTGGGAGGAGAATGGAGGAGAAGGGATTGTGGCGTGGTCATCACCCCTCAGGGGTGATTTCTTACTTTCTCTCTCGCTGGTTCATTCTCTCTCTCTCTCTCTCTCTCTCTTTCTCTCTCACCCCAGTGAGCACACATGCCCTACAGCAAAAACCTCTACAAAAAAAAAAAAATTGGGGGCCAGCAGGTGGCATGGTTAAGGGCACTGGACTCTCACATGGTTGACCACAGTTCAAGTCCCAGACCTGGCAGCTTGCTCGCTCTCTCTCTCTCTCTCTCTCTGTCCTTCTCAGGTCAAACAAATAAATAAATAAAGTTAAATAAAATAATAATTCTTAAAAAAAAAAAAGGACACCCAAAATGTATCAAAATATGTGTATTTCATTTATTGTCAAACCAGGTATGCCTCCTTCCACTCATCTATGTACAGAGAAATATTTTAGAAGAATGGCTACCCAAAAAAAGAATGGCTACCAACATGTTAATAGAAACTACGATTCACTGATTTATTCAACAAAGGTTTACTGGTGAGCCGGCTGGCATCATGGTGGTTAAGGTGGCCAGACCCCATATGGCTAACCACACAGTTCTAGTCCTGGACCCAGTAGCTTGAGAAGCACTCCAGGCATGTGTGCCCAAAATCCCAGAAAGAGAACTAAAAGAGAAGGAATTATGGTGTGGCCACGCCCCACAGAGGGTGCTTTCTCACTTTCCCTCTTTCTCTGTCTCTCTCTGGCGAGCATGCCCTCTAGCAAAATTTTTAAAATGATGTATCAGAAATCAAAACAAAAACATTGAAAATTATTTAAAATAAAATTTTTTAAAAATTTTTAAAGTTTACTGGCTTTCTCCCAGCCAGAATACCAGAGGCCCAGATTTGATGCCAGGCCTTACAAAGCCTTCCTTCTAGGGGAACATATACACATGAGCAGGTCGGCAGACAGAGAGACAGGAAGCGGCGCATGTACCAACCCTGGCAGGTCCTACAAGGGAGACACACAGCTGGCCCTGACAGAGTGTAACTGAAGGGACTCATTTTTTTTTTTTTTTTTTAAGTTTATTTAGTTCTTTTTTCCATGAGTGAGAGAAATGGACACCCGCAACAGGGTCCTCACACCACTATCCATCCAGCCTCAGCCTATTCAGATCATGGGCACACGCACGCCTGACATGTTCAGAGAGGTCTCTGGGTGCAAACCCAGAACATTCCTGTGTGAGACAGCCTCACAGAGTTGCATTACCATTGCCCCACCACCCGGCTCCTGAAGAGGAAACTCACTTTTGACAGCATCTCTGAGGAAGATGCAGGGACGCTGAGTCCTAAAGGATGGAAAGGTACCAGCCACAAAAAAGCTTGGGGAGGGATGAAGCTCCAAACTGAGGAGTAGCACATACTAGGCTGACCTGGCTGGGCCTGCAGGGGAGCACCTGAGAAAACGTGAGCAAGGCGGGCCAGGCCTGGACCACACAGCCCCAGCAGGGAGCCACCAGAGGCTCCATGCAGGGCTCCAGCTGGATCAGACCTGCAGGTGGCTGCTGTGCAGGGAAGGCAGCCAGAGGGGCCATAGGAGGCTGCTAAGAAGGCCACTGTAAGCAGTTCAGGCAGGAGAGGATGGTGGTTTCAACTAGATGGTGTTGACAGAAGTAAAGAAAGGGAAAGGAAGGGAAGACTACCGTGGGTCAGTCAGCGTGCTCAGCACTGGCTTCCACTACACCACCCCTGCTCCTCCATCCAATCCGCTCTTGACTCCAACCATCTGAAGAATGCAGGTGAGGCCAGCTGCAGGGAAGCCAGACCCTTAGGCTCGCACTCTACTGGAGGCTGAGGCCCACTCCAGAGGCCTGGAGTTTGTTTTGTCAATGCCAGGTCCCACTTGCAGAAGCCACATCGACAAGAACAGGAGACCAACAAGAAGTCAATGGTGTCACCTGCTGGCCAGTGAATATTATTGCATTCAGACAAGAAGGAAGGTGGTGTGTGGAGAAGTGTATGTGCATGTGTGCATGTGTGTGTAATAACAGTCTCCAGCCCACCCTCAGAATATATCTCCACACCACACCACTGGCCAACTTAAGGCCACCATCATTAGTAGTCTGAGTTAGTGCAATGACCTCCTCCCTGGTGTTTCCACCACCACTCCTACCCATGTACACTCTACTTGCAACCCTAAGTCAGCCCTCAGTCTTCTGCTCATAACCTTGTTTATATCCGATTTCAAGTAATCGTAATAAGGTATTAGGAGACAATGGAGAAATACTGACTTGGATTAGGTACTAGATGATGTTAATAAATAATACTATTTTATCTATTTTTTGTGTGTTTGAAATTTTTCATAATAAAAATGCTAAAGGGGGGGGGGCAGCAGGTGGTGTGGTGGTTTAAGAGCACTGGATTCCTACATGGCCAACTGCAGTTCGAGTCCAGGGCCTGATGGCTTGCTTTCTCACTTTCCTTCTCTCTCTCTCTCACTCTCTCTCTCTCTCTCATTCTGTCTTTCTCTGGTCAAATGAAAATGAATAAATAAATAAGGTTAAATAAAAGAATTATTTATTTAAAAAATGCTTAAAAAAAAAACCAGTAAGCAAGTCAGTGACATGGAGGTTGGGGTGCTAGATCCCACATTGTTGACTGCACAGTTCAAGTTCTAGACCCAGCAGTTTGAAAAACACTTGGGCAAGAGGAAATGGAGGAGAAGGGATTGTAGGTCCTGGGACAGGAATATGACTCAATCTTAAGAAGGCCAGTGTAGCTGCAGTGGGAAGGCAGTAGGGATGAGCTCAGGAAAGCAGTGGGGCCACCCACAGAGGCCCTTAAGGCCATGGTGAGGCGATCCCCCAATATCTCCCTGCCATCGGGACTCAATAAAACAAGAAGCTGAATGAAATGCCTATGACAGCCATGAGGGAACACTACCACCAAAGCAAAGGTGACTCAGCAAACCTGCTGCTAGCAGAGTTCTGTCACACTGCACCATTGGCACTGCAACCAAGACTGAGTCCCCACAGCATCGGACACTCTCGGGGTCCCTCCTCCAACCTGCAGTTAATTCCAGGATTTGGCTGGGTCTGTACACAAAGTACTTTCTGGTTTAAGAGGAACTGGACTCACGGTGAGGCCTGAGATAAAGCCCCAGCTCAAATGTCTGCTCTGAGACAGTTGCCGCCCTCCCCAAGCCTCAGGTTTCCCATCTGTAACATGAAGAGTTGGACTAAGTCCCATCATCCCAGGATTGAATTCTCCTCTAGAATACAACCAGGACAGAAAGGGAAGGTAGAGACAGGGCTCAGTGGTCCTTGGTCTCCTGGCTGCAACTCATCCTGCCACGCCCCATCACAGGTGGCAAATCTGCTCTTCCCCTGAGATTCGCCTGGAGTGTAGCTCATTGTTCCATCTCTATGGGAGCAAAATGCCACACACCTCAAGGCTGCAAGGCCAGAGAAACCCAGCTGGAAGGTTCCTCAGGAAAAATCCCCACCATCCAGCGCATAGGGATAGTATGCACCAAAATGACAGAAGTGGATACATGCAAATAACAGGTGAGGCACTGGGGTTGAAGAAAGGGAGAGGGGGTTTCAACTGGACTCCAACCTTCTGAATGTTTCCATTTCTTACATGGACAATACATTTAACAAATAACTATTTTTTTAAAAAGAGAAGAAAAAACTCACTCCAGGAGATAGGAATTTAGAAGGACATCAATTGGAACCATCTCCAAAGAATAAATGCTACCAATTATTGAATGCATACCACATAGAGCATCCGCTCAAGTAATCCTTGAGGGAAATGAGACAAGTATTATTATAGTCCCTAATTTGTTCTTCTTTTCACAGGCCAGCCCAGATTCAAGGGGTAGGGATGGTGCCCACACACACCTTTTTGCTGTTACTGCTGTTAGGTTTTTGCTATAGGGCATGGGTGCTCACCAGAGAGAAAGTGAGAAATTACCCCCAAGGGGAAATGGCCATACCACAATCCCTTCTCCTCCATCCTCTTCCTGAGATTTTGGGGGCACACACACATGCACCCAGTGTGCTTTTCAAGCCACCAAGTCTGGGACGTAAACCACGGTCAGCCGCATGGGAGTCCAGCATCTTAACCACCATGCCACCTGCTATCCCCTAGAGAAGACATTTTTGACTGCCCACTTACTATGTGCTGGCTTCTCTGCTGAGTTGTGCCTACAGACTGGTGTATAAAAGAAGTGTACTGTCCTGCCACTGTGCTACAGTGGTAACGCAGTATCATTCAAGCCTGGAAGCAACATTGCCAACCATAGGTTCAGATCCCCAGCTGGCCTGAAAACGTGCTGGGCACATGCATGTGCACACACTCCTAAGGACCTGAAGGGCGGGGAGAAAGAGATCACAGCACAACGAGACCCTGCTGCAGGTGTCTCTCTGTCTCTCTCCTTCCCCCTCTCTCTCATGCACACTTATGTGCTTCCTAGCATTTAAAAAGCAAATATAAGTTTATTATAGTCTAGCCACTTATGGCAATGTCAGAAGGCCGATTAAATCCAAACTCCAGGGCCCATGCTTTACCCACCACGTCCCACTGTCGGTCAGCCCATAGGACCCTTGGGCTTCCTTAGACCTGCAAGATCTGCAAGACCCTGCGCTGCCCGCTGGAAGTGCACCGACCCCCGAGTAGGTCCTCTCTCAGCAGGGACGCCCACATGTTGCTGGACTGAATCCAGACCCACCCAAGGTACATGCATTATGCACTCCCTCCCCACCCCTGCCTCCACCTGCAGAGGGGCTCCTTACTTAGGTTTCTCAGAGGCTTTGACTGGCAATATTGTTAGCACTAGAGAGGACTTCTCAATGGCTGAACAAGAGACCACCAGGTTCAGCTCGGGGATGAACTTGACCTGTTGACACCAGTTGGGATGGAGAGCCTGAAAAGAGACCAGCAGTGGTAGGAGACCCAACCAAGGGACAATATTCCAGGCCAGGCCCCCAGGATGCAGCCAGGGCTTGGGGGCTGGAGAGGCCAGAGATCACGAAGTCTAAAGCCCTTCTAGCTGTCACAGCTCTGACAAAGTGACATAACCCAAGTCCTGGCCTAGGTCCTGTGTCCTGGAGTGTGTAGCCATCCCATCATGGAGAAAACTCAAAAGCATGAAGCATACTATCATTTAAACCCTTATAAGTTCAAGGATAGGCAATGCTGGGCCCATACTAGCACCATTCTCTCACACGGGGAGGAGGGGTGGATTCGAGCCTGCCCAGGCCACAGTCCACATTCTCCTCAGGAAGCCTCCACAACGGGTGAGCTGCACTCCCCAGTGGCTGCCTCCCTCCATGTCTGTCACAACGTGGTGGGCTCATGGAAGCCTGGAATGTGTGAGAACGTGCACTCTTCAGCAACCACATACAAGCCAGGGGGTCAGAAGGGTGAGCTGCTGGTGAGGATCTGAATTCTCTGGCTCCAGCTCTCAGGCCTGCCTAATGCTTAGTCTCCCAATCCAGAGATGTTCCTGTCTGGGCAAAAATGGAGGAATGTGAACAAAGGAAGAGGTGGGTTGGCGAGATCGGACCGTCAAACATTTGCTCAGTGGCTTCTAGGAGCAAGGCACTAGCAAGGTCTAGCAACGAGGAGGGAAAACCACACCCAGGATGAGATTTCCAGCGAAGATGGAAAAGATGATGCCAGGCATGCCTCTCCTCTAGCTCATGAGAAGGCCTGAGTGAGTTAATCTGTTCTGTAAGAAGCACCGAGGGGGGTCAGTAGGTGGCGTGGTAGTTGAGAACACTGGACTCCCACATGGCCAATCATGGTTCAAGTCCTGGACCTGATAGCTTACTTTCTTTCCCTCTCTCTCTCACTCTGTCCCTCTATGGTCAAATAAAAATAAATAAAGTTAAATAAAAATAGTTCTTTTCTGTTCTGTAAGAAGCACCGAGGGGGGTCAGTAGGTGGCGTGGTAGTTGAGAACACTGGACTCCCACATGGCCAATCATGGTTCAAGTCCTGGACCTGATAGCTTACTTTCTTTCCCTCTCTCTCTCACTCTGTCCCTCTATGGTCAAATAAAAATAAATAAAGTTAAATAAAAATAGTTCTTTTAAAAAAAGCAGCAGCAGCAGCAGCAGCACTGAGGCAGCTTGGACCACTCAGCTCAGACCTGCCCCGAGTGTCAGATTCCTTCATATTCATTCAGCAAATGTACAAGGAGCCCTCTAAGCCCCAGGTATTGTTTTAGGCACTGGAGACAGAACGGAGAGCGCAACGGAGTCCCTGTCCTGAAGGAACTATCGATCTTGTTGGGTGACAGGATGAAAAATCAATGGATGGATGCTACAAAGTCAGGAGGTGAGAATGCTGCAGGGTGAAGAGACAAAGGGGTGGGCAGTGGGGCTGGCTAGTTGGGATCTGAGGGAAGGAGGCAGGGAGGTAGACAAGTACCTAGGGGAAGGGCACCACAGCCTGAAAGGACAGTATGTGCCGAGGTCCTGGGGTGGGAAAGGCTTAGTGTTCAGGAATAGCAAGGGAGCCGACACCCCTGAGGCAGAGTAAACGAGCAGAATAAAGGTAGATAAAAAGACCTGCAGCGAGCCAGGGACTGCCCATGACCTGATGGTCGTGGTGAGGACTTGAGATTTTATTCCAGATGTGATGAGAAGCTCGGGGGCAACATAGCTGTATTCTGTCACATAAAGCCTCTGTTTGCTGAGCGAATAAAGAAAGCGGGAAACCACTGCACCAGTACAGACGTACGCTGGCATTTGCTGGCATTACGAAGCCTCAGGCTTCGCAATGAGGTTAATGAGAGACGTGGCCGTGCCTGGGGTACAGATGCACTCCGCAGAAGAGCAGGTGAGATCCAGCAGGTGCTAGACACCAAGCCCCAAGGGCTAACAAACCCTGGGGACAATCTACTTGCTGCTTTTATTTTTGCATGGTACTTGTGTACTGATAAGTACCATGGCAACAGGCCGAGGAAAGATACAACTTACCCTCAGTCGGTAACTTCGATGCGAAGGGGACTTCTCATTTAAGAGTTTCTGTGTGGAAACTTTGACCCAGTGATCTGATAAGGAAAAGACCAAGGTTCACATCACCATCTTTCCTCCTCTGCCAGGCGAACCAAATCTCAGCAGACATCTGGAGCTGGTGTGGAACTCCCATGCCTCTCAGAAGGCCTCTCCATCCAAACACTCCTTTGAACCTGCCTGAGTCCTGGGGAGGTCAGTGTGGTGCCTCTACCCAGGACACCTGCTGCCTCTGTCAGCTCCTGGCACAACTGGAACCAGGTTTCAGGGCCCCTCATTCTCCCAGGTGCTGCATCTGAACAAGTAGATTCTCCACTAGGGAGACCCAACTTTGCTGGAGTGAAGAAGGAGCTGGGGATCCTAGGCTCTATTCATTCTAGAAAGTAATCATTCGGGCATTTGCCATCAGGCCTCAAGCTATGTGTGCTCTTTGTCCAGAAAGCTCAAGTTCCTGTTAGAAGTTGCATGCAGGCATCATAAAATGAGTATGTCTGGAGCAACTATGATGTGCATTAAGTTCTGCCCTGCCCTCGTGGGGCTTCGAGTCTCCCTACCACCCAAATTGCCCAAGGGTGGCAGTTGATGAACCTCCAGGGAAAGCAAGCTGGACACAGACAGGTGGAGCCAGTGGTGTCAGGAGACAAACCCCCAGAGCAGTGTAAGGAGATGGGTCGGAAATGTCCAAGGCTTCCACCCCATTCCCGAGCCTCTCAGCTACCTCGTTTAGAGGCCCTGGGGAGGATGTGGGGGTTGAAGAGTCCATTGGTCACATTGTCGGAGGTGAAGATGATGACGTTGCCTTTGGTGTCCCCATAGCAGAACACACCTCTTTGATAGTCGGACCTGGGGAAAGATGAATACAGAAGAGACTGAAGGGCCTCCCTCCACTTGGGAGCCAGGGAAGTTCTAATAAGACTTCCTGGCCTCATGCTGGACATCCAGCTGACACACATGGGCCCAGCACCCAGATCCAGGCCATCCTTGAACCAGAATTCAATAATATTTTTTCAACCTAAACAAATTAACCTCTAGCCCTCCACCTGTTCTTTGTCAAGTCACCCCTCTTGGGACTATGGCATTCCCAGCGTCCTTAGCCACAGCAATACAGGCCTCGACCAGGGTTTGGTACCTGACCTGATGGGGAGGGAAAAGAAAAGGTGCAACGATGACTCCATGGTCTGAGTGACGTGAAAAGTGAGCCCGAGAGAGAAGCAGCTTAGGGGCAAAGGATACAGTGGCCTCAGAACCAGTGGGGTAGGGATCTTTCTAGACCTGTTTCCAGGAGTCCCAGCCCCCACTGCATCATGTGACCACTAAGATCCTGCACTGACTCCCAGGAAACTCACCAGTAGTCCATGACCAGGACACAGCTGTCCAGATCAGTAAAGGTGAAGGCCTGGACACATTTATGGTTACTGACATCAAAGAAATCTGGAGAAGAGATGAAGAGAGGGCACATGCAGAGCCTGAACCCGCACCCCAAGCCAGGCAGTGGCCTCACAGTATAAAATCCCAGTGCTGAGCGCAGCCTGACAGGGCTTGTGTGATGGGCCCATGGATCCCTGTAGTCCCATCTCACCCACCTAGGGTTCAATGAACATCTGCCGAGTGACTGCGGGTATGACAAGGAAATTCGGGAGCAATGCTGAGCCTGGGCACTGCCGGTAGCTGGAAGCCTCTGTCTTCTCCGGCCTCAGCCGAGTCCATTTATGTTCTCTCTGTGCTTCCCTGAAGGCTCCGGGAGCAGACCCAAGCAAAGACCCCTCATCACACACCTGGCTGGTCACTCACACGCCTCCTCATCAGGGCCAGGGCCCAGGCACAACCCCATCATCCCCACTGCTGGAGACCCCAGACAGGTCAGAGCTGTCATTGCATTACACAGGAACACTGCGGGGAGTGGATTACAGAGAGAGCTTCTTGCAGACTCCCTTCTTCCCTCTGTTCTAATCCTGCCCCTGGCAGGCTTGTCTTTTGAAAACACTATTTTCACCCAGTTCAAACACCTTCAATGGGCTCTCTGCTCCTCCCCGTTCGACAGACAGCCACATCCCGGAGACACGATGGTGAAGGTCGGAATAAACAGATTTGGCCATATTGGGCGCCTGGTCACCAGGGCTGCCTTCAACTCTGGTAAAGTGGATGTCGTGGCCATCAACGACCCCTTCATTGACTTGAACTACATGGTCTACATGTTCCAGTATGATTCCACCCATGGCAAGTTCAACGGCACCGTCAAGACCGAGAACGGGAAGCTTGTCATCAACGGGAAGTCCATCACCATCTTCCAGGAGCGAGATCCCGCCAACATCAAATGGGGTGACGCTGGTGCTGAGTATGTCATGGAGTCCACTGGTGTCTTCACCACCATGGAGAAGGCTGGGGTTCACTTGAAGGGTGGGGCCTAAAGGGTCATTATCTCTGCTCCTTCTGCCGATGCCCCATGTTTGCGATGGGTGTGAACCACAAGAAGTACGAAAACTCCCTGAAGATTGTCAGCAATGCCTCCTGCACTACCAACTGCTTTCCCCCACTGGCCAAGGTCATCCATGACAACTTCGGCATCGTGGAGGGACTCATGACCACAGTCCACGCCATCACTGCCACCCAGAAGACTGTGGACAGCCCCTCAGGGAAGCTGTGGCATGATGGCCGTGGGGCTGCCCAGAACATCATCCCAGCATCCACCGGGGCTGCCAAGGCTGTGGGAAAGGTCATCCCAGATCTGAACGGGAAGCTCACTGGCATGGCCTTCCGTGTCCCCACCCCCAACGTGTCAGTCGTGGACCTGACCTGCCGCCTGGAGAAAGCTGCCAAATACGATGACATCAAGGAGGTGGTGAAGCAGGCATCGCAGGGCCCCCTGAAGGGCATCCTGGGCTACACTGAGGGCCAGGTCGTCTCCTGCGACTTCAACAGAGACACCCACTCCTCCACCTTCGATGCTGGGGCTGGCAGTGCCCTCAATGACCACTTTGTCAAGCTCATCTCCTGGTATGACAATGAATTTGGCTAAAGCAACAGGGTGGTGGACCTCATGGTCCACATGGCCTCCAAGGAGTAGAGCTCCCAACCACCAGCCCCAGCGTGAGCACGAGGAAGAGGCCCTCAGCTGCTGGGTAGGCCCTGCTCCCACTCAGTCCCCACCACACTGAGAAGCTCCCCTCCTTGACAGTTTCCATCCCAGACCCCTACAGAAGGGAGGGGCTGAGGACCCCTCCTTGTCACAAACCATCAATAAAGTAAACTTTATCAGCAAAAAAAAAAAAAAAAAAACCCCTCAATAGGCATTTTTAAACTGTAACAGAAAAAAAAAAAAAAAAAACCCTTCAATAGGACCAGTAGGTGGTGTGGTAGTGAAGGCACTGGATCCCACATGGCAAACTCCATGGTTCGAGTCCCAGACCCAGCAGTCTCAAAACCACACCAGGCACATGTGTATGTGTAACCAAAAATCCCAAGAGGAGAATGGAGGAGAAAGGACTGTGACTTCTCAAATGTCTAGCTCCTTCCAATAGACCCAGCCTCAGCTCCAGCCTCTGTCTGATGAGCAACAGCTCCTCTGCCTGTGCTGTCTTGTATCTGAATGGCAGGTTCTTGCCCCCTCAGCCCTCTACATGTCTGGCCAGGTAGTGGGTCAAGAGGAGAGCTGGCTGGGTTGGGGCCACTTCCTCCCCTGCCTCTGACCATGAACAGATGGCAGCTGCTCACTCAGGACAGCCAGGATGATACACATATCCCTAAGGGGCATTCTAATGCCAGACTCTCAGGGCTGGCTGAGAACGAAGGAAGACAACACCTGGGACGCCACCTGGTCCTTGGGAAGCTCTTCTACTGACCCAAGGTACAGATTGGGAACAAGTTGCTCGCCAAACTCTGACCCCTGAGGTTTATCAAGGAGGAAGGCTTTATTACAGGTGACATCACCCGGCAGACAGATAGGTCGGGTCCATACCTACTTTGGTTCGGTAACTGCTCCAAGCAAGTCACAATCCCTCCTGAATGCCCTAGCCCTGGCTGATGCCTGACCACTTTGTCTGAAACACACGATTTATCCTCATGATGATATTAATGCTGATAAAGCACCTGCTGTGTGCCCGGTGCTAAGCCAGGAGCTTTACACCCTACTTATGAAGCCACACTCACCCTGGAGACATGGGTCATTGTACCTCTGGGTAAACTGAGGCACCAGGCAGTAAAGTAATTGCCCCAAGTCACACACCTCCAGGATGGTGGGACCAGGGTATAGACCCAGGCCCTTCTGATTCCAGTCTCTGCCTGCTCCAAGGCAGGTGCTGCCTCCTCCCATTTAGTCTTGCACCACCAGCTGCAGTTTCACACCATGACCTCCCCTCCCTGAACACCGCAGATGCTTCATTCATTCATTCATTCATTCAGCCACCTGTCCACTCAGCAGTCACCAAGCATCTAGGCGGTCAGGCACTGAGATACAGCATTGAGCAAAACAGATGCAGACCCTGACCTTATGGAGCACCCCAAGAGGAGGAGAAGATGCTAACCATGGGATCACCCCAGTTAAGTGTGTGATTACATTGAAAAAGGCAAATCCCGCAAGAGTCTTTTTAGCAGAGAAACCTGACTTGGACAAGATGGTCATAGAGGGCTTCCAGAGGAAGTGACACCTGAGATGAAGGTCAAAGGGATGAAAGAAATGATGGGGGCGGGGAGAGGTGCAGGAGGAATGGCAGACCACAGAGGCCACGGGTCAGCGGAGGCAGTGAGAGAAGGCTTTGGTGGTCTCGGCACGACAGGGAAAGGGACAGGTGGAGAAGGAGATTGCAGGGGCAGCAGGAGGCAGACTTTCTGGGGCCCCATATAAAGATACCATCTCAAATATCAATTGCTAGAGGTTGGGAAAGATCGAGGATAGGATAGAGGAATATTCATTAAAGGAAATAAAATTACAGGACCAGCTCCATAGCATAGTGGTTAACTGCTATCCTTTAGGAGCTGGATCCTCCATGGCCAAGTGCAGTTCAAATCCTGGCTTGGTGGCTTGAAAGATATGCCAGGTACATGTGTGCCAGGTACATGCTGATAAATCCTGACAGGAGAAACGGAGGAAAAAGGACTTTGCAACATGACCACACCCCATTGGCAGGTGCTTCCTTTCTTTCTTTCTTGCTAGTGAACATACATGTCCTCCAATAATTAAAAAAAAAAAAAAGGAGCGGGACCAGCAGATAGTATAATGGTTATGTTGCTGGACTCCCATGTGGTCAACCATGGCTCAAGTCCTGGACCCAGAAGTTTAAAACTCATACCAGGCACATGTGCATATGTGCTCAAAATTCTGAGAGGAGAATGGAAGAGAGGGGATGCAGTGTAGCCATCCCCCCTGGGGGCTGATTTCTCATTTCCTGTCTCTCTATCTCTCTGTGTCTCTCCGGCAAGTGCACGTGCCCTATAGCAAAAATGTCTCTTAAAAATAAAAAAGGAGATAAAATCACAGATAGAGAGAAGGACAGTGGGGAGGAGCCAGCAAGTGGTATGGGGCTTAAGGTGCTGGACTCCCACATGGCCAAACTGCAGTTTGAGTCTCAGACTTTGCAGTTTGCTACCTCACTTTCTCTCTCTCTAGTCAAATTTTTAAAATAATAATAAATATAAATATAAATAAATAATTCTAAAAAGTGAAAATGCAGTGGGAAGAATATAAATGTCAACAATTTGCTGTACATCTCAAAGTAACCAGAAGGGGAGATTTTAAATATTTCCAACAGAATAATGACAAATGGTTACAATGATGGGCATGCCCATTATCCTGAATGAATCCTTATATGTTGTATTCTTGTATAGAAAAGTCACACTGTAGTCCCTTAAATATGTACAATTATGATATGCTAGCAAAAAGTTTTTAGCTCATTACAAAAAAAGAAAAAAATAAAAAGGATCTCCATCCTAAGAGCAATGGGTAAACTGAATTGAAAGCTTTCTGCAAAGAGGCATTTTTTTAGAGGTTTTTGCCTTAGAGTACAAGCACTCACTAGAGAGAGACAGAGACAGTGAGAGAAAGTGAGAAATCGCCCCACAAGAGGGAATGGTCACACCAGTCTCTTCTCCATTCTCCTCCTGGAATCTCGGGCATGCGCACACTTGCACCTGGCGTTGAGTTTCAGGTTACTGGGTCCAGGACTTGAACTACAGTCAGCCATTTTAAAAGCTCACCCTGGAGCCAGACCATAGCATGGTGGTTAAACACTGCAGAGGAAGCCAGGTCTCACATAGGCAACCAAGGTTTGAGTCCTGGCCCCACTGGCTTGAAAGACATACTGGGCTTGTGTGCACATGCTCAAGATCCAGATGGGATGCAGAGTCAGAGGAAAAAGGATTGCAGAGTGATCAGGTCCTGTTGGGGGGAATCAATCAATCGATCTCTCTATCTTTTTCTCTCCCTGTATGTCATCCTCATACACTCTATGGCACTCAGCAGGCCTTCACTAACCACCCTCTGATTACCAAGGCCTCACCACCTGGCAATACCCCCAGAGGGCTCTAACCCACACTCATCATTGCTCGGCCAGCAGATCTCAGCCGAGGGCAAACACATGGCTCCCCGGGAGCAGGCCTGAGAGAGCCAAGGCACTCACCTATCTGCTGCTCAGTGGATGCCACGGCAATGAGGTTCACATTGTGCAGACATACCATGTCGATGACCCACCTCTGCTGGCTGTGGAGCTGCCGCTTCTTGTTAAGCTGCCCAGAGAAGAGCAGAGGAGACTCGGGCTGTGGACACTTACCCAGGAGAACACCGTAGACACCTCCTGCCACACAAGGCCCTGGAGCCAGTCACAGACCAGGTATGGTCTGTGAGCCCAGTGCTCCCACCTTCATCTTCACAGCCCCTTTCCAGGTAGTTTCACAAGACTTCTATCAAAGTCTCGAACGTACATAGCTTCTGATCTACAGACGTGTTTGCGTATCCTCCAAGAAAACCACACGTGAGGGCGAGCGCTGCAGCACTGCCGTGATCGCGACAAGCCAGAGTGCCTGGAAAGCAGGGCTCATATGAAGCCCTCCCAGGGGTGCCACCCAGACGTAAGAACAATAGAGTCATCCATGTACCAGTACAGTACAGTGGCCGAGCCCAGGGGAAAGCAGCATTACAAGGTGCTGCCATTTGTCAACATAAAAAGGGCAAGAGGGAGCTGTGTATTAGGTCATCCATGGGCAGCACTCCGAGGCTGATCAGAGCAGTGGGCTCTGGGAGAGGAAGCAGGCTCTAGGAACGGGAGTCTGACACCCCTCCATCTGCCCCTCCTTGTCTGACTTGTTTACCATATGCAGTTTCACAAGACTTCTTAGGTGCTGCTACCTAAAGTGGTATACTGATGAGGATTTGTTCTGCAAGGCTGTGAGGAAGGGATGGAAGAGCCAAAGCCCCAGCATCCAGGGTGCCTGTTAGAGCTCAGTAGGTACCGGGCCCTTCCACACACTGGTGTCAGCCCCTATAACTTGTCTAGGGACAGAGCTAGAGCTGGAGCCTCTGGCAGGGAAAGTCACAGCAAAGCCAGGTCAGCAAAAGTGAGCTGCTCTGTGTGCAGTAGAGGAGGCCAGCTGATAGGCTGGGAGTTGGGTGGGGTGAGCTAGGCATGGCTGCCTAAGGGATCTGCGTTTTCCTCCCTGAGTAACACCACAGACCCTGAACTGAACAAGGCAGAAAGGAGCATAATAAAGGGGTGGTGAAAGCACTCCCTCCAGATGGGTGTTCGGAAAGAATGGCAGGGGCAGAGAGCAGACAGTCTCCTCGGTCTCAAAGGGCCCCAACGCCAGAGAGGCCTGAGCTCTCAGGCTTCTGCTGATGGTTGGGCAGTGAGGATGATGGACACGAGGCCTTCTCTTGTGCCCAGGGCGGGAATCTCACACACACATACACACACACACACACACACACACACACGCTTTAGCTCCCTAACTCCCATCCCCCACATTGTTCAGAGGGGAAACAGAGCCCTACGGGGTTCGGTGACGTGCCCAATGTGGCACCACTGGAGAGTGAAGCCCATACCCCATCTTGAACTCCAGAGCTTTCCATCCACATGACAGTGGGCAGCTGTGGCATTCTGACTGGTTCTGGGTGGCTCGTCTTGCCAAAATCTACCTGCCAAAGCAGCCCTTCAGAAAGAGCCCCCAGGTCTGTTGAGCCTTCCCTAGGAGCCTTCCTCTGTCCTCTTTGGCCCTCCTGGACTTTGGCCCTGAGAGACACTGTGGTGACAGTCATGTCGCAGCCACACCTCAAGCTCAGGCTGCCATGCGCCCTCCCACACACACAAAGAGAAAAGGCAGGTGGAGCATGCCAGGAGCCGCAGACTTGCTAAGGAGAATGTGAACCTCCTTTCACATACCTGAAGGGTCGCAGGACCTCCAGGGACCTTAGTTCCATCTAGGTCCCCTTCTCTCCCAAGGGATGACCTGAGGTAACATGAGTCACTCCACAGTTACACTGGCCTGCAAAAGTAACTCGCTGCTGGCAGCATTCCCAGCTCAGGCCTGCAGAGGCCTGGAGAGCAGCGCTTCCCTCCCTTGGCTCTAGACCAGCCCACCAAGTGCAAGACATGGCAGGTTCTCGTGTGAGCACTTACCGCTCCTGGCCAAGAGCGGACAGCATAGAGACAATGATATCAGCTTATATTTATGGCTGTTTGCCGTGTACCTTGTCCAGCTCTGAGTGCTACACACGGGGTCTTCCAAAAGTTCTTAGAAAACATGTATCATAAAAATATACTCATGGATTTTGGGACCAGCAGGTGGTGTGATGGTTAAGGGCACTAGACACCCAACCATGGTTTGAGTCCTGGACCTGGTGGATTGCTTTCTCATTTTCTCTCTCTCTCTCTATCTCCCTCTGTTTTTCTAAGGTCAAATCAAAATAAATAAAGTTAAATAAAATAATTCTTAAAAAAAAATCTACTTGGGGTCGGCAGGTGGCGTGGTAGTTAAGGGTGCTGAATTCACACATGGTTGATCGCAGTTCAAGTCCCAGACTCAGCGGCTTACTTTCTCACTTTCTCTCTCTCTCTCTCTCTGGCTCTCGCTCTTGCTCTCTCTCTTGTCAAATCAGAATTAATTAATTAATTAATTAATTAAGTTAAACAAAGTAATTCTTTTTTTAAAAAAAACAACTACTTATGGATTTCAACAATTTTTTTCACCAAGATAAACTAGTGGGCCAGGTGGTGGCACCATGGTAATGCAACTGGACCCACATGGGACAGATCCTGGGTCTGTCTCCCTGGGACCTCCCTGATCATGTTGGGTGCACACACATGCATGTGCATGTCTGTAATCCATGCCAGCTAAGGCTGGCGTGGGGACCCTTTGGGGTGCCTTTGTCTCTGTCTCTGTCTCTCATGAAATAAGTAAGTAAATAAATTTTTTAAAACAAATTACATAAAGGGACCAGCAGTTGGCATAATGGCTATGCTGCTGGACTCCCATATAGTCGACTGCAGTTCGAGTTCCAGACCCGATGGCTTAAATTCACACTTGGTGCATGTACATGCATGCCCAAGATCCTGAGAAGAGAATGGAAGAGAAGGGATTGTGGCATGGCCATCCCCCCAGGAAGTGATTTCTCACTTTCTGTCTCTCTGTCTCTCTCTGTCTTTCTGGCGAGCGCACATGCCCTGTAGCAAAAAACCTCTCCAAAAAAAAAAAAAGAAAGAAAAGAAAAAAAACAAATTACATAAAATAAACTATAGTATCTTAATTCATTTTCCACAATCTTTCTGGAAGTTTCCTCATACCCATACTATGTCATTAAATCCTCCTAACAGCCCTACTAGGGATTACTATTACTAGTCCTGTGGGATGAAGAGGAAACAGGCGACAAAGCTCTACAGTATCTCGTCCAGGCCACAAGCTGGTGGGTGGTGCTTCTAACCCTGGCAGTTGGGCTCCAGAACCAATGCTCACAACCACTGTGATTTCCTGCCTGGTCCATGCAAGGGTTTGAATCAGTAGGACATAGGGCCAGCATAAGTGTGATAGGAAAGGTGGAGAGGCTGACTTCTAGCATGGGAGCCTTGCTGGATCGTTACACCATGCACCATGCACCACAAGAATGACACCAGAGAATAAGCCTGGTGGGCCGGGAGTGCTCAAGTGACCTGCTATTGGGACAAATGGGGTGTTGAGGTGTCCAGGGCATCCAGGCAGAATTCTGCTGGCAGAAGACAACTGTGGGGTTCCCACAGAGAACATCTGGACTGCCAGCCTGTTCAGACCACAGATCCCGAGAATGAGCCCACTCTGTGTCCGGGTCACCTTCAACATAAGGGTGCTCGAGGCTAAGGCACCCACTAAGGTGCTCCAGACAAACGGGCCCCACTCACCCTAAAGGAGCTGATCAGTGAGAAGGACTCAGTCCAGAATTGCAGGATCCCATCTTTGGTGACAGTCAGAAAGCACCCAACCTTCTTGAACCTGTGGATTAAGAACTCCACTTTCACGACCTCACACCCATGATTCCTGTGGGAGGTGATAAGAGAGATAAACTCAGGGGGAAAAACAATCAGGTCAGAAAGGAGGAGGCAACATATCAGAACAAAGAGTCGCAGAGCGTGAGGGACAAAAAGAAACGAGAGGAGTTCTAGTCACATGCACAAGGGCAGGCGCACATTCACACGAGGGCTCCTAGCTTGCTGCACGAGGTATGGGACTCCACCCACCTCTGGGGATTCTACTGGCTCACCCACAGTGGCCAGAAGAGAGCCCCATGGGGCCAGCAGATGGTGTAGCGGTTACATCGCTGGACTCCCACATGATTGACCACGGTTCAAATCCCAGTCCTGGTGGTTTAAAACTCACGCTGGGTGTGTGTGCATGCATGCCCAAGATCCCGGGAGGAGAGTGAAGGAGAAAGGATTGTGGTGTGGCCACCCCCCTGGGCAGTTATTTCTCACTTTCCTTCTCACTGTCTCTCTCTCACTGTCTCTCTCTCTCTCTCTCTCCAGCCAGCACATGTGCCGTAAGGCAAAAATCTCTACAAAAAAAGAGAGAGAGCCCCATGCACAAGTCTGCTCTAAGCTCATCTGTGAAACAGTCAGTCAGCTAACTGGCCAGGGAATGGAACAGAGGAGGCAGAGAACTGAGGACACTCGACAGGGAAAAACAGCTCATGGAGGCCGAGCAGCATGGGATGTGTGACTGAAAACGCGAATATCCCTTTCCAGCAATTGCTCCAGAATAGAGAGGAAGAGAGCCCAAGAATGAGATAAACGTGGACAAGGGAACAGTAAGGAATTCGGCCCCATCTGCCCAACTCTTCATCCCCCAGAGCACCGCAAACAGTTCCTGGGACAGGACTCACAGAATGCCACTTTGCGGGCTCCCAGCAAGCTTCATGGTACTTTGCAGTGTCCTCCTTCCGGCCCCAGAATTGGCAAAGCCAATTCTTTGGCTATTAAGGGTCACCACCATTATGACTTCCTAATGTGGCATGCACACTCTCACTTGATCTGCCCAGTCTTTGGGGCCTGTTTTACCTGGGAGGGTGGGTAGTTACTTTACCTCACAGGAACGCAGAGAAGAACCATTCACCTGACATTATGTCCTGGTTACCAGCAAGTTTAGAACTAGCACCCTGAACCATGACCCACCTCTAGAGCCCTTTCCAAATGTTGCTGTGGGCATGGGCTGACTGTAGCTCAAGGATAACCCACATAGTTGTGACTCCCCCTGCCATCACGGCCTCTGCAGGAGAAAGGCAGGACATATCTAGATGTGGCTCTCTGCTCCCTCTGCCCTCAGCCCATAGCTCAGTGAGGTACTGGCTTCCTCACCTGCAGGACGACGGCCAGTTTGGATGCCCAGGACCAGGGTGAAAATAAAGAAACAGTGAGGTCAGGGCACTTGGTCCAGGCTCAGTAAAGGTTGAGCCAGAAAGTTACCTTTCATGAAAGTGATTAAATTTTATTTGACTGGGGACCAGCAGGTGGCATGGTGGTTAAGGTGCTGGACACTCCCACATGGCTGACCACGGTTCGAGTCCCGGATCTGGTGGCTTCCTTTCTCCCTTTCTCTCTCTCTCTCTCTCTCTCTCTCTCTCTCTCTATCTCTGGTCAAATTAAAAAATAAATGAATGAATAAATAAAATTAAATAAATAATAATTTTTTAAAATTTTTTATTTGACTATTTTCTCCACTAAACTGGAAATGTTCTCCAGGTTTATAGGCTGAGCAAATAAATAAGAGAAAATAGGGACGAACTTCCTCACATTTTTGTTTCAGGCCCTTTAAACCACCTTGGGATCTAAATGTACCAAGGAAATGGAACAAATTTTTCTTTAAGAATTATTTTATTTTATTTTATTTATTTATTTATTTATTATTTTAATTTGCTATAGGGCACATGCACTCACTA